CTTGAACTCACAGCGATCATCTTGCCTCAGCCTCCCGAGTGCTGGGATTACAGGCGTGCACCGCCACACCTGGCCTTCCACACTGATTTCCACATGTGTTCTCACCAATAGTGGAGAAGCATTCCTTTTTCCCTACAGCCCCTCCAGCATTTGTTATTGGTTGATTTGTTGGCAGCAGCCATTCTTTCTGGAGTGAAGTGGAATCTCAGCATTGTTTTAATTTGCATCTCTTGAATGACCAATGATGTTGAACATATATGTGGTGTTTCTGTTTCATATATTTATTTGGTGTTTCTATTCTTCATCTGAGAAGAGTCTGTTCGTTTCAGATGCCCATTTTTTAATTAGGTCTTTACATTTGGGGGATCTGGTTTTTTGTTTTGTTTTGTTTTGTTTTTGTTTTGGGGGTACCAGGGATCGAACTTGAGTCCTTGTACTTGCAAGGCAGGCACTGGAACCACTGAGCTAAATCTCCAGCCCCTGATTTTTTTTTTTTTTTTTTTTACCTGGGACTCGGGTTCTTGCGCTTGTAAGGCAGGCCACCGAACCACTGAACTAACTCCCCAGCCCCCCCCCTTTTTTTTTCTTTATATATTCTAGATATAGTCTTTTATCTGAATAACTGGTAAAAATATTTTTCCCACACTAGGTTGTCTCTTCACTCTGTTGATAGTTTCTCTTGCTATGAAAAGCTGCTTTTTCTTTCTTTTTTTTTTTTTGTACCGGGGATCAAACTCAGGACCTTGAGCTTGCCACTGAGTGTGGTGCCACTGAGCTAAATCCCCAACCTGTGCAAAAGCTTTTTAATAAGATAAGGTCCCAGTTGTTTATTATTTGTAGTATTTCCCATGTGGTCGGGGTTTTGTTCATGAAATTTTTGCCTACTCCTATGTCCTCAAGAGTCCTACCTGTTCTCTCTTCCAGCAGATTTTGTGTTTCCATTTTAATATTTAGATTTTTGATCCATTTTTACTTTAGGTTATACACTAAATTTTTTTAAAATTTTGGGTGTAGTGCATTGGTAGTACTTGCTGAGCTAGGTTCAGTATTTAGCTCTGACAAACAAAGTTGTATCTGTTATGTATGCATGATTATCAAAGCAAGGTCATATAGACAGATTGAAGTGAACAAAAATGAAAATACAGCATCTCAAAATTTGTGAGAAGCAGGGCATGATGACATATACCTGTAATCTTAGATCCCTACAGCCCAGGAGTTTGGGGCCATCTAAGGCAACATAATGACACTGCATCCAAAAACAAAGCAAAACAAAACAAATAACAGAGAAAAGATATTTAAAAGAAAGAAAACTAGGGCTGGGGATGTAGCTCAGTGGTTCCGTCACCTGCCTTGCAAGCACAAGGTCTTAAGTTCGATCCCCCGGCCAAAAAAAAAAAAAAAAAAAAAAAAAAAAAAAGAAAAGAAAAAAAGAAAACTACAAGTAATATTTCTCAGGGATACTAAAGTTTCAGGCTAAAATATTAACAAATCAAATTTAGCAATTTATAAAAAGAATAATACACCATGTACAAGTGGAATTCATTCTGGATATGCACGATTGCTTCAGTTTGGAAAAGCAATCAATGTAGGTTAGGCATATTAGCTCCTCTCTATAATCTCAGCTTTCTGAGGCTGAGGCAGAAGGATCCCAAGTTTGAGCCCCCACCTGGGCAATTTAGTGACTTATCAAGACCATGTCTCACAAAAATTTTTTAAGAGCTAAGGATATGCCAGGAATGTAGTTCAGTGGTACCGCACTTACCTGGCAAGCACAAAGTCCTGAGTTCAATCTCCAGTACCAGTGGGGTGGGGGCACTAAGGATGTATCTCAATGCAAAGGCTCTGGATTCGATCCCCAGTACTGAAAGAGAGCGATCAGTATAATCTGCTATGCAAGAAAAATTATATCAATTGACACATGAGAAACATTTGAATCTGATACTATTTATGATAAAAAACTCTTAGAAAATTAGAAATAGAGAGGAAATACGTCCAGTTGATAACATCTATATAAACCGTTAAGCTAACTTTGTTCTTACTGGTGAAAAACTGAATACTTTTCTTTTAAGATGGAGACCAAGGCAGCGTCCACCCTCATAAATTGCTAATGGCAGTATAAATGGTACAGCCACTCTGAAGGAGTTCGTTAGTTTCTTTTAAAACAAAACACATATGTCAAATGTGTGATTATATTCTTGGTCATTTGTCCCAGATAAATAGAAAATTAGATTTACAAAGAAAATTTGTACTTAAATAATCATAACATCTTTTTATGTAGCCAAAAACTATAAAGAGCCCAGTTATCCAGTGGATGAATGATTAAACAAACTGCCATAGTCATATGCTGACATACTACTCAGCAGTGAAAAAGGAATGGGCTATTGATACGTGCAGTATAATTTAATCTACTCCAGAAAATTATGCTGAGTGAAAAAAGCCAAGGTCAAATATTTTTCCAGGTGAGATGGAATATACCTGTAATCTCAGCTGTCTCAGAGGCCAAGGATCAAATGCTTGAGGCCAGTCTAGGCAATTTAGCAAGACCCTGTTGCAAAATGAAATTTAAAAATGGCCAGGGGTGAGATTAGTGGTAGAGCTCTTGCTTAGCATGTACTAGGCCCTAAGGTCAATCCCTAGAGCTAGGAAAAAAATAAATCATACTCTGTGTATTCTATATGATTCCATTTATATAACATTCTTGAAATAAGAGAATTATGAAAATATAGAAAGATTGTTTTTGCCAAATAGGATGTAGGTGGTGGTAGAAGTTAAGTGGGTAACGTTATAAAAGGGCAACTAACACATGGGGTACTTGTGATGGAATGATACGAGTCTACACATGACAAAGTGCATGAAACTAAGTAGACCCACATACATATGACTACTAGTAAAATAAGAAATTTGAATAAGATCAGTGAACGATATTAATGTCCATATCCTTGTTGAGGTTAATTGTATTGTATAAGTATAAGATAGTATCATGGATGGAAATTGAATAATGTTACACATACTGGATCTTTCTGTATTAACTTTTGCAGAGGTAGATGTGTGTGTGTGTGTGTGTGTGTGTCTGTGTGTGTGTGTGTGTGTGTTTTGTCTTTATTTTTGTTTTCTGTATTAGAGATCAAAATCCAGACATTGCACTTGTGAGGCAGGTGGCAGAACCACTGAGCTAAATCCCCAATCCTGCAGAGATTTTTTTTATATTGAACTTTTTATTTATCTTTTCTTATTTATCCACACCAATAGACATACATGTCTTTGGTCAGTTTAGGATGAGTAAAAGACTTTTTCTTAATGTACTCTGCCTATTTTTACTCTCTAGAGGGGAGGAGTGGATAATAAGCATATCTAAACATATTTTGGAGAAATTTATGTATAGAGCTGTTATATAATAACTGAATGGGGGTGCGATTATTAGCTGATATGTATGTGTAGTTTAATTGAACTGTAGTATAAAGTTGTATTTAAGTACTGAAAAAATTGCCAGGCATGGTGGAACATGTGTATAATCCCAGCCTGGGGAGTAGGAGAGGCAGGAGAATTGGAATTTGAGGCCATCCTAGACTACATAGTACAACCCTGTCTCAAAAGAATAAAATAAAGCCAAAGAAAAAACTTTAGACCAGAAATACTATTAATCACCATGAGTTTGAGGCCAACCTGGGATACACAGTGAGACCCTGTTTCAAAAGATCAAAATAAAACCCCAAAAAAACAAAACATAGGACACACACACACACACACACACACACACACACACACACACAACACTGCACTATAGAACTCATCAAACAATCCAAAACAATCTGTTTTGGACTATGGTAAAGTTTAAAGTTCATTTGTTCTTCATTCAACAAATATTTGTTGATTACCTATATGTACCAGGAAATTGCAATAAAAATCTCTGCCTTCATGGAGTTCACATTCTAATAGAATTCCAGAGGAATAACAGTGGTTGAATATTATAAGATTAAGTTAATATCAGTAGTCTTTCAAATTTTTCTATACTGTTTTTTTGTTTGTTTGTTTGTTTTGTTTTGTTTTTAGTGGTCTTACTATGTAGTCCAGGCTGGCCTTGGCCTTGAACACTCTGTATAGTCCAGGACTGCCTCAACTTGAAAAATTCACATTTCCCAAAACATTAATTTAGAAAGGAAAACTTTATGGATTACTTGGTGGTATTTGCTTGAATTTTTATTGAGAGATATTCCAACAGTCTCATTGCGCTTAAAAAGTTATGACCCAGGCGGTGGCACATGCCTGTAATCCCAGCACTTGGGAGAGTGAGGCAGGAGGATTGTTCAGAGTTCAAGACCAGCCTGAGCTATATAGTGAGTTCACGGCTATCCTGGACCTCCACAGCAAGACCCTGCCTCAAAAAAAAAAAAAAAAAAAAAA